ATAAATAGCATGTAAAGGCATGCATTGTTGTTACAGTTTTCCTTTTCAGTTTCTGCAGAGGCACGACTGATGGCTCAGCACCTACTTTAACCTGCAGCACATGTTCATTTTCAAGTACTGGCCCTACAAAATCCCATTTTCACAATAAGCATTTTCTGTCTGTAATGATATTAAACTGAAGCTTAAATACAAGGCAGCTTAAAGTGAAAACAAACTAGATAACTAACAGAGGGGACGGCGCTGGGGAGAGCAGATGACAAAGTGGGCTAAAAGCTGAGCTAAGCTGACACCAGCAAGGCTGCCAGTGATACTCTGAGGCCTCTTTGGATGGGAGGAGGATTAAAGTTGCTTTATGATGCCTGCCTGCAGGATCTCACTGCTGTTATGACACCACTCAGGTAAAAACAGAGGAGATAAAAGTGGCTGCAGGTGGAGTTCAGTCTGTAATTTAATAGCCCCGTATTGAAACACACTTTTTGTTGTTTGTGTTCCTGTTCTTTCACTGTTTTCGAGTGCAAACGCCCACACAGAGAGTCACGCCGACTGTGCCTTTATCTTCATGCATGTCCTGCTATCATGTCCTCCCTCACTTTGTGTTTGCATACTGTGTTTTAGTTATATTTGCATATACTTCTGCTGTGCTGTTTTAAAGTTTAAGGAAGGAGCACTTAAAATTCCACGTGTGATGATGGTGGTAGCAGCACTGTTAATGGTTAGCTGGAGTACTGGCAGGAAAAAAGTGATAATAAAAATCTGTAATAGTGACAAAGCTATTAACTTTAACTTTAAAGTTAAACAGCAATATGTGGAAAACTTGTAGTAACAGAATTAATCGATGTTAGATTTTAACTTCATTTCATAAAGAATTTGATGTTGATAAACAGACAACGAGGGTAAAACTGTAAGATGTCTTTTGTTTCAATGCATGTGCTTAACTTAAAAGGTCAGAAGGGGGGCACAGGGTGGCACTGCCCACCCCCAGAAATATGATTGTCTCAGACAGTTCTTACAGTACAGATGCGAGCTGGAGTATAATGAGTGATGGTGTATTACTTGTAGCACATTTACTCAAGTATGTTACTGAAGTTTTCCTGGTTTCTATTTCCACTTCACTATATTTTCAGTACAGTTATTATCCTTGTACTCCATACCATTTAATTTACTCTAATTTAGCAGATTTTAATATTTAAATCTATGGATCTAAAAATCTGTATTATTATTATTACCATTATTCATAAAACTCCCCGTAGCAACATGAGTAACATGATTAAAATTGTCTCCAGTCGTAAGATTAAAGTGATAAAGATATAAATGGACCAATAACTATGATCCGGTAATGCAATGTTTAGGATTCTGCCATAAACCCATATTTGGATGCAGGATTACAACTTTTACTCACCTAAAGTATCTAAATACGTCTTTAACGTGTTGCAAAAACATTGTTTTAAACCAAAACAATGGTTTACCTTTATAATAACACCATCTGCATGAGGACTCCTAGTTGATAATTATGATAATTGTGCCTAGTGTTTTCAACACTGCTGTGCACCCCTGCCTTGGTCTGCCCATTCCTGGGCCCCCTGATTTCAGAAATCCCGGAAACGTCCCTGTTGTTTACCTGGTTGACCCTATTTAAAAGAAAGAGAAACTTCCAGTGGTGTCTCTATACTGATTTAAATATCCCTAAGTAATGTAAGCAGTGTGTTTAGGAGTGACTGCAGTGCATTGACACTAATAATACGTTTAGCAATCCCTGTCACAGGCCTAAACATGAGTCACATGTGCCTACAGAACAGGACGGCTGGAAGTGATGATAATGACGGGCCTGCGGTGACCGGTGGTGCTGTGTGGGGAGCTCTTTTAACGCACCTCCTCCGCCTGCTTGCGCAGCGCTTTCTCCCTCTCATACTGGGTGATGAGCTGCTCGTTGTCCTCCTTCAGCAGTTCCAGCTCCACCTCGTGCTCCTGGTTCTCCGTCAGCACCGCGTCGAGGTTTTCCAGGACGTTCACCACAAGCGGCATCAGCTCCTTCACCACCTCCTCATCGTAGCTGTGTATCAGCCGCTCGAACTCCCGGTAGATGCTGTTTGCCAGGCCCGACACCCGCTCCGACATCACGGAGCCGGAGCCATAGTCGTCCTGGTAGACCACCTCGTCTATCTGCAGCTCCATCATCTTGGCAGCTGTGGTCCAGATGAAGCTACGCCTCCTCTCAATAGTTTTTCAGGCCCTCCTAAAAGGCGAGGGTGTCACCGCTTTTGAATGCGCTCAGCACGGGGGAAGGGGCACATTCAATCACAGTCTGCCTTCAAAAAGGAGAACAGTCATGCCATTTTGCAGCAGGTTTACAGAACGGAGGCAGACTGTTGTGTGCGCATAACCTTGATTCCCCTGCTGAAAATATCGGTTCTAATAAACTGATATGAAAAGACCCCCTCCTCCTCCTCCTCCTCCTCCCGCTCCTCCAGCCAGTTACGGGCTATCGCCTCCAGTCGCGGCCCTGTTATCCCTGTCCTCCGGCAGAAAGCATCAGATCCTGGGCGCTGTGGATGGGCACTGGGCCAGCCTGTAGATTGTCCATGCCGAGGAGCGAAACGCCTTCGTCGATGGTATTGCACCTGCCTCTCAGCAGCCGCAGCCATGGACCCCAGCCATTGCTGGCAGGGAAAATAAATAATTAATAAATAGGTAAATAAATATTCTAGTTAGTCTTCCCGATAATCGCCGATGGCCGATCCCCCACTATAGTCTCGTTTTATCCATATCTTTTCCTCTTCCGGCAGGCCGCCGATGCTGCTGGCCAGACTCGGGCGTTTTTTGGTGATATCTCCCTGTGGGAGAGGCTCTCTGTGCTGCTCAGATGGAGGAGCCAGCTGACCGACTCTGGCTGACGTCACACCATCTGCATAGAGCAAGCAGATGCAGTGCGTCAAGTCAGCGAGGCAAAACCGGAAGTTGGTTGCAAAATTTCACAATAAGCTGCATAGGTTAGAGCAGAGAGTGCTAGCATAATGGGCAGGTTTTTGACAGGGCTTCCACACAAACGCAAAGCAGAAGATGAAGCAAATATGTTTCCAAACTAACTTCCTTCCAAGCAAAATACTAGAAAATATGATGAGGCATATCTTATCTTGCTTTTGGCTTCACCTGCACAAGTGCCAAGGCAGGTCTCCCCAACAGAATTAGTTCCCCCTGCGTCGGGAGCACGCGCTGGGCTGTCCAAATCACGTACAAACAGTATCCCACATTCTTGATTTTTAGTTCACAAATACTTCTTATAAACTACTCCTGACCAATGACTACAGTCATTGCTCCTGACATTTTGGAGATCTTAGCTCTTTATACAGTAAAGTTACAGTGGAACACAAATAATATCAGGCTAATCCTGCCACAAATCACGGACAAACAGTATACCACAGTTTTTTATGTTTTTGAACCCATTTTGCACAGAGAGACATGAAACATGTTACTTTGTGTCTCTGTGCAGGCCAGGGCCAATTATATGCCGCAGCCTAAAGGCAGCTGAGTTGCAGAGGCCAGAGTGATCACTGGCTATCTACTTACTATGCCACAACTGGCTTTGTGGCATAGCTGGCTCTGGCCTTGGTCTGTGTGTTTTTACTTCACAGGCAAATTGGACACTGGACTGTTTTATCTTTTACTTTTTGATCATTGTGTTAATAAATTACCTTTTAGAATTTTATTGACTGTCATCTTTTTGCCTACGGCTGGGACAGTTGGTCAGACCTAGAATCTTTTTGTGTGTGTACAACTGTGGCAAAAGTGTTCCCTCGATGGCAGTGGCCTTCTGCAGCAGCTCAAAACAGCTGGAGGAGCTTGAGGAATGAGCCAATAGGATGAGCCGAAAGCGTGCAACATATGACAGACGCTCACATCCTATGTCAGTACCTCACTGGATCCGAGCTCATCTCAGGGAGCTGATTGGTCTGTATGAAATGATCAATAACTGTGAGTTATTGTGCCAAGACCTGCAGTTCCTCTAATGGCCACTTGAGTCTGTCTCTCCATAGACTCTCATGTTAAAATGTGCAACTTTAAAGCAGAAATAAACACGTTTACAGCTTGATACAGAGACCTGTTTGGTTTTGTGTGACTACTTTTCTCCTTCCCAAAAACTCTACCCTGTTTATATTTTATATACAAGTGAATTTATAATGTCAGTGCCTTTCCCAAGAGTCTTGGGGATCATCAAGATGTTTTTGGTAAACGTGAGAGGGCCTTTGGGATCTTGTTTTTCTCCTTGAACTCTCCCATGGATGCCATTTTTGCCCAGTCTTTACCTCATTGTTGAATCATGAACACTGACCTTAAGTGAGGCAAGGGAAGCCTGCAGTTCTTTAGACTTCAGTTCAGCATTCAATACAATCCACTCCTCACAACTCATCAGGAAACTGACAGACCTGGGCATCAGTTCCCTCATCTGCAAATGGTTACTGTACTTCCTGACCAACCGCCCCCAACATGTCC